CTGGACAAATAAACAATTGGGATGTTAATTGTATGACAATAATATATTTTTACATAACACAAATAAAACGGACCTACACTTTTTTTCAACTCTATTTTACTTTGCTAAAAAGTAACGCGAGATTTTTTTTGGTGTATATGGTAATAAAAAAATATTTAAATAATTCTTAGCAACATGTGCAGTAAAACTAATACTATGTTTGGGTTATATGTAATTCATCTTATTATTGTAAAACTTGTTATTAAAAATGATTCATACCATAAAGGATTCTGAATTAATCACTAATTGATTTTTGTCAATTAAACAAAAATCGACCCAATGTGTGATTTGATCGCAATTCAGGTATGACTTTTAGTAAAATTCTCAGTAAATCGGATATATATAAATGCATAATTTTAATTATTTATGTCAAAAAATAATTTCAAAAATTTTCATCCATATCAAGTCGGATATTAAAACTATGTGTAATTGTAGTTACACATGTCAACAAAGAATTAGTTAAACAATCTGAATAATATTACTAATAAATATCCGAAAATTCCAAAAGATATATGATTGTTAGTTATATATCCCACTATTCCATCGATTTTTTCTAAATTATATACTTCAATTACTTAATTAATCAATATACAAAAAAAGTGTAATTGAAATTATATTTGGTTGATACTTAATTAATAATTTAATTGTTATCCATTTTTTTTAGTTTATATCTGACTGTTAATTAATTATGCATTTAAATAATTTTCAAAAATAATTATTTAATCAAGTCCTAATAAGCATTCGGGTTTTCCTATATTATATCTAGTTGAACTTAATTAGTCATTTAATTGAAATTCAAAATAACATAATTTATTAAAATAACCCACTTTATACATAAATAAAATCGCCATCACACACCTCAACTCCAGTAAAATCACTATCAAAGTAACTGATTATAACATAGCATTATACAAAACACAATTCAAATTATATCCACTAAATAGGATTAATTAAAATCGACATATACATCAAATCGCATACTTTATAACAAAATTGGATATATTAGTAATAATGTATTTACTACAATAACTAGAAATGACCATANAATTAACTCGGTTGTCCACTCAGTGAAAATGTGATCCGGTCTCCACTCTACACTCTCCCCCAAATCAATTGCTCCTCAAATCTAACCTTCCATTTCTCTCTGTAAATTTCTCAAGCTCAAAATACCTGAACACAAACGCAGCATTCCAATTGCCGGTGTAAAAACACAAGAAGAAGGAGAAGAAAGATGGCTTCTTTAGGTAGAGCTTTCTACAACGTTGCATTCTGGATCAGGGAAACCGGCCAGGCCCTCGATCGGCTCGGCTCACGCCTGCAGGGAACCTATCTTTTCCAAGAACAAGGTGGGTGATCTTTATTCTTTCTGGTTTAACCTTGTGGATCTTCTCAGCTTCCGCTGTCAGCATTTGGAATTTTGTTTAGCTTTTCCTTTAGCATTTAGGGTAACTGTGATTAGGGGGTTTGAAAAGAGATTATTTTGAGTTCATGAGAATCGGCCAGCGATTGTGTTGTTTTCCCTCACTTTGATTTTTGCTTCAAACAGAAGGAACATTTATTT